GGCCAAGACAAGGGCCCTTCAGACCCCGCTCTCTTGGTTCCTGGTGATCCTGGATGCTGGATGGTAGACCAAGCAGAGTCTTCCAGAGAACACCGCTGGACTGCACCTTACCTTTCCCAGATACTGTAACCAACCCCTTTACTGACTGTAAGTTACCCCAAAATAAACCTTTTTAACTTTGTGGAGTTGCCTTGGAAATTCCCCACATTAGACATGGTCTTTGGAGAACATTGCAGATCCAAACCATATGGGGGCCTCTTCAGGCTCACTGTAGTGTTCTCTTCCCACTGGCTTCCTCATCATCTCAGTGCTTTATGAATCTCTGTCACCAAATGCTGTTCATTTTGCATCCCTCCCTGCCCTGAATTCAGTTCTTTTCTGACAAACCCTATGGAAATTCGTGTGCTCGCACATGCTCATGGAGGCCAGAAGAGAAGGCACTGGATTTCCTGGAGCTGGAGTTACAGATAGTTATGAGCCAGCACCTCCCCTCCCCTCCATGGGTCCAGGGAACTGAACTGGGTTCCCTGCGAGAGCAGCAAGTGCTCTTTGCTACTGAGCCGTCATCTCTCCAGTCCCCGGAACTAGACCTTGTAAACTCACAAGCCCCAGTCAACTCCAGATGATCCTGTAGCTATTGCTGCCCAGGTCCCCGATGCTCGGCAGGCCTACTGTGCAGTCTTTCAAGGAAGGCTGCTGTGACTGGCACACATACTCTCATCACATCCCCTTCCGACTACAAAGGCAAGTTGTTCCACTTGCTTTGTGAGCCCACTGGAAACACTCTCCTGCGCTGCCCCTGATGTTGCAGAACTGGTCCCCATGAGAAGTTCCTCTTGAGTATGTTTTCTTGCCTACTTCCGACCTCTCCCCTTGGTAGAGTAGGCTGATCCAATGAAAAGAGGGAGAGGATATCACACAGAGCAGCAGAGACAGCGAACAGCGATGTCCCCAGGGCAGCTAAGTTACAGAGTGGCCGGTGCATCCATGATAGCAGCAGAAGGCTGTGAAGAGCTGAAGACAAGACACTGCAGCCATGGCTGCTAGAAGAGTTTGTTCCAAGGAGCTTTTGGGGGGGGGGGGGCAAAGGTCTCAGGCGTCCTAGATCATAGAGCCATGCCACCAGCTGCCACCAAGGGGCTAGGACCCCAGCACCCTGAGAGCCACTAGAGAACGGAGGATTTAGCACAAATTGTGAAACCGAGTAAACAAAAGTACATACCAGAATGGGATGAAGATCAATATGAACCTGTGACTAACTATTAGAAGGTCCCTTTGGGGACGGGGAATAGCTCAATGGTTAGTGCTTATCTTCAAGTCAGAGCCTCAGAACCCATGCTAGAAAGCCTATGGTGCCATATACTTATAATTCCTGTGCTAGAGAGAGAGAGAGAGAGAGACAGAGACAGACAGACAGACAGACAGACACACACACACACACACACACAGAGCTTGCTAGTCAGTGAGCCTAGCCTTCTGAGGAACAACACTGGCTGTTGTCCCCTACACCTCCACATGTGCACGTCCCCACAGAAGTCCTTTTGGGCTCTATCTACTGGTACATAAGAAGCAGAGCACCTCTGTTGCATGAGTGTGTCGTCTGGTTTTAACACCATCCCTCATAACCAGAGTTCCCTGGCAGTGTCTACATGTCAGGAACTGGGGACGAATAGGAGTCAGGAGGAATCTTGTACCAGAAAACATGGAAGCTTTCAGAAATCAATGCGTTTATGTCGAAAGGTTATCTTTTAAGGTATTCCCAGAGGCTAAAGACATGGCACGAGAGTGCTCCCCAACCCTGGCCGCACCCCTTCACAAAATAATGCTAATAAGTCTAATAGTTTGTGGGAGCCCACAGAAGTTACTCAGGGTCCAAGAATCTGAGCTTGCTTTACCCAGCAGGGCTGCATAAGGAGATGATTTGACCACAGGCATGGTTACCAGGTGTTTGGAAGGGTCTGCACTTGGCTGTATGGTGTGCTTTGATCTTGCAAGGGGGAGGTCTTTTGCCTCTCCCCTTGGCATTGTTATAAAAAGCCCTTTTCAATAAAGGATGAGGCTGTTGGTATTGATCCAGGTCCTCCTGAAGCTATCCTGTGTTTCTGTCTTTCTTCTTGTCAGCTAGGTCTCTCTTTCTTTCTGATATTTTCTTATCCCTCTCTCCTCCTCCTAAGAATCCTAGAAAAGGTGGGAAAGGTAGGAGCTGGACTCCCAGAGTCTTCCACAATAGTTAACGGAAACATATTAAATCTACACACGTTTGTGAGTCTGTGCCATGATTAAAACATAAAGATATGTTTAATCTTTAATCTCAGTTCTGGGGGAGGAGGGGGGAAGAGGCTGACAGATCTTTGAGAGCTTGAAGCCAACCTGCATTAGAAGCCCACCACAAAGCCACTCCCTTTTCAGTGGTGGCCGAAGGCTGTCATGTCTCAGATGGATGGTCCTCTCAGAGCACCAGAGAATGAGCAGCTCTGCCAGGGGACTGAAGAACAGTGAGGTTTGGTGCCTGTAGGCCATGGAATAGGTGGGTAAACTGAGGTAAGGTGATTGTGAGCTGCCTAGGTTTTCATAACGAAAGGGTCAAAAGAGCCAATCCAGTATTGTTACAGCCACCCAAACCAAGGCAACATTCAGTGAGTCCCCTCTTCCAACAGCCCTTAGGGTAAAACCAGCTCTGTGATTTCTAACCTTGATGGCTCCTCTCCATAGGCCTCTAGTCTGTGATGCCCTGTCCCCAAGATACTAACCTGCCCAGGCTGGTCACGCCTACTCACCTTCACTTGTGACGCTGCAGTCTAGGTGTCTACCAAATGTCTTCTTAGCAATCGGATGCACTGTCACTGTCCCCAGGCATCATGTCATTGTGTTCACGCCCTCATACTGTCTGTAAACGCTTCACACTCATCTAGACAACGCCTGAGAAATCCCAGGTACAATGGAAAGTCAAAAAGTCTGCCCTGAGCTTCTGAATGACAGCTGCTTCCTGAGTAAGGCGTGGAAGGGGCAGAAGAAACTGAGCGCTGTGACCTAAAGCCAGCCGAGGTCAGAGAATTATGAAACAAAAGGCCATTGATTTCTCCAGAACAGGCAGCCATGCGGTTCACCCCTGGGGCGGACTCCCACTGTGTGGGCTAGAGATTCTTGGTTATACAGGAAGATTTCACAATTGTCACCTCTGCCCCAGAACTCACGACGAGAAAATTGCTACTGGAGGTGAGACCAAGGTGGCACGAGAGTTTTGACAACTGAATTAATATCCTCTTAGATGCTAGTCGCAGCTGAGTCTATTTTGCTATTGGAAATGAAAAATACTTGTAGCCCTTATTTTTAAGAGTCATGGGATAATGTACTTCGTGATTTAAAAAGTTTGTTTATAAGGCAAAGGCAGGCAGATCTGAGTTCAAGGCCAGCCTGGTCTAGAGTGAGTTCCAAAACAGCCAGGGCTACACGGAGAAACCCTGTCTCGAAAAACCAAAAAAGAAAAGTTCGTTTAGTTGGACTTTTAATCAGTTTTAAGTCAGCCCAGCTGTTTGCAGTTTTATCCTGCAGCCTTTCCATGAATGCCCAGCCTCTCACAACAGTGTTTTATCTGCCTGTTCTGACACACACCACATTGCTGGGGCCACAAGCTGTACTGGAAAGGTCGGAAATCACATCCTCTCCGATCAACTGACCAGAAACCAATCTAATGCAGTGATAATGGGCTCCACCGAATATATATAAAAACAGGAGCCCCCAGGGCTGGTGGTCACCATTTCCAAATCTTTTTTGTTGGTTTGGTTTGGTTTTTTAGAGGCAGGATTTCTGTGTGTAGCCCGGGCTGTTCTGGAATGCACTCTTGAGAACCACGCTGGCCTCAACTCAGATCCACCTGCCTCTGCCTAACCCTCAGTGCTGGGATTAAAGGCGTGCGCCAACACAGCCTGGTCTAAATCTTTTTTTTTTTTTTTTAAATTACATCCTATATATTTATTTCATTATTTGTGGATGTACACACACACACACACACACACACACACACACACACACACACACACACTATAGCTCAAGTGTGGAAGTAGAAAACAGTTTCCAGGAATCAGTTCTTGCTACTGTGTGGGTGCCAGCAACCAAAGTCAGGTCTCCTGGCTCGACAGCAAGTACCTTCATGTGCTGAGTCTCCTCACCAGCAAAAAAATCTTTATTTCCTCATCTGGGTTTCACAAAGAAACTTTTCGTGAGAAACCTTCCCAGAACTATTGGCTTGCTTTAGGGCCCGGCTGGGTCTCATCTGCTGCTGGGTCTCTGCAGCTCTCTCTGTCTTCAGCTGGACTCTTCTTCATGGTTACCCTGGGGAGCTGGTCAGTCTTCCTGATGGAAATATGAAAAATCTTGGACTCTCTCCTCAATGTTCAAGACTATTCAGTCAGAACTTTCCCCAAATGTTGAAAGAACAAGATTCAAATCCACAGAAACTGGGTGGCTAACTCCTGGGGATCAGAGGCCAGGGAAGGCCATGGCTGTTATTCTGTAACTTCACTTTACATAATAAAGCAGAGAAACAATCCATGGCTCCCAGGGCTGGCTCTCTGGTGTCTGTTAGAAAGGGTCCCTGACAGGCGTGCACTGGACCGTTCCCAGGGGACCCCCTGGCTGTGGCTAGAGATGCAGCTTGGCAGTGGGGAGCCTAGAGTGGAGCCTCTGGCTCTGCCAGGTTATCAAGTATTTTGCAACTTCTAAGCCACCATCATCCCACCCCATCCCGCCCTCACCAAAGAACAGTCGACTTCTTCAGAAGACTGTGAGGCCTAAGAGTGAGAACAGGGACGCGGGCGTGTGCATTGTGAACAGCTGGGGGGCTGAAGGAGTCTCCAAAGGGCACCCCCTCCAGCTCTTCATTCCCTCAGGTCACATCAACAGTTCTCAGGGAGTCCCATTTTTCTTCTGAAACTACCCTTTCAGGTGTCTAGTCCTGCAGTTTCCTAACCAACACAGCAAGATACACAGTCACACTCAAATAGCAAATATTTAAATCCTTTATTGCCATTAAGTTACAGATCTCAATCTACACACTATGGAAAACACTGGAAAGTATGTGTAGACATGTGGCCAACTGAGGGATGTACTATAGTCATTAAAGAAAGATCAAGAATTTGAATAAGTGCTTATAGTTATAAAATTTTGTTCCTTAGATTTTTATTACACAAATCCCAATAGATAATATACACATTACTACAGAGGACTACAGATAAAACCATCATTCAAAATTATTAAATTAGTTGCATATTTTGAACTACTCTTGATGAAGACAAATAAATTGTAGCAGTGATAAGGCAGCAAAGAGTTGGCTTAGGAACTCCCGGCTAGTCTATAATGTTGGCATGGTAATTAAAGATAGATTCGTGTTTTCCCCTCAGCAAGACCACGTGTGCTGATGTGATCTGTGGCTTGGCAGCAGTGGCTGGGGCGCTGTCCCTTTAAGAGCTGGTCCGTGCACCGCTACGCAGACGCCTTCTTACTCATCCTGGAATCAGAGAGTTTCAATGAGAAACAAATTCTCCTGCCAGCCTCAGAGGCTCAGCGTGGTTTTAGAAGACACATTTCTGTAACACGGTTTTGTGACAATGGTACATCATCCTATTTCACACTCATTTTTGTTTTTTTAATAGAGTTTCTCACTAATTCCTCAAAACAATATATTAAAATGTGCTTACTCATAGTTGATGAGCCGTCCTCCCTGAATGAGCTGAGCTACTTCATTTGTTACATGGCAGGCAAACAGAAGCCAGTTTCGAGGCTGTACCTTGTAGGCGAATCTCATGAATGTCAAAGAATAGCAACAGAGGGCTGCAGAAACATCAAAACAGAAGAACATGAACATCTGGGGCACCAGGCTGAAGGAAACAAGGCTGGGAAGCTGTGGGAATACTCCACGGTGTCACGGGCATGTCTGCTGTTTATTACCTGAAAGTTTAGGAACATGCATCAGCAGGAACAAGTGGAATTCAGTCCTTGCCACTTTTACTGTGTGCTAGAGTTTTTTATAGCAATCCTTTGAAAGAATTGCTGCTTATACTTCCCCTTCATTTGTATGTTCAAATATTGGAGTCAAGTAAACCCTGCCAGATCAAGTTTATAATCAAATCTGTTGGCTATGAGGATGATTAGAACGACACATACTGGAACTCAGCAAACTACATCTGAAGCAAATAATTTTCACATCTCCCAAATACTTCAAATTACTCTATCTCAGAGAGAGCAGCACTCTGCGATGTCCTTATATTCTTCACGTGACCTCCTAATAGCAACCATAACGTGTGGTGAGATGTATGCAGAAGCTACATCATGTGCCACGCCCTCCTTGACCTCAGTGTGTTCTTACCAAAGGTCATCCGCCCACTGATAATCTCTGGAGACTTCTTCATGTCATTGATCGCAGCAATGGGGAGACCCCAGTTGGCAACGGGGCCCCAGAAGTGCTGCAATAGATAGAGGGGAGAGGAGGGAGTCAGGGTGCAGCCACAACACCTGCATTTCCACCCCTCCGGCAATCACAGCCCACGACAACAAGTCTGATCGCTCACCGTGTCCCTGACTCGGTTCTTCAAGGTGAGCCCAGAACTACGAAGGGCCCGGCTGTTTATCTCAGCTCTTCACTGGCTTCCACACTACAAGTCAGTGACCCCTGACTATGTAGCCAGAGAAGGGAAATGCTACAACTTCTGACAGTCCATCCTTACACAGTTTAAGCCTTGTTACAGCTACTGTCTATAGTATGTTTAAATCTATCAAAATACTTGCCCTCTAGGTTTCATTAAGTTACCTGTTAGTAAAATGCAGAGCATAAATTGGACACTTTTTCTGAAGAAAAGTTCACAGTAGGAAGGAAAGAATACTTTTTAAAGATTGATTTTTTTTTTCCAAGACAGGGTTTCTCTGTGTAGCCTTGGTTGTCCTGGACCTTACTCTGTAGACCAGGCTGGCCTCAAACTCACAAAGATCCACCTGCCTCTGGCTTGTTTTTTTTTTTTTTTTTTTTTTTTTTTTTTTTTGAGATACAGTCTCACTAAGTAGTGCTGGCCACCCTGAAACTCACTATGTAGACCATCACCAAATTCAGAGAGATCCGCCTGCTTTTGCTTGGATTAAAGGCAGGCACACTATGCTTGGCTTAAAAGATTTTCTTGAATTCTGTGTCTATGTGTTTGTGTTTGGAGGGGTATCTATAGGTCTAAGTGTAGGTGCCCTTGGAGTTGAGAAGAGGGCATCAGATACCCTGGGAACTAGTTTCAAGTAGTTGTGGGCCACCCAACGCAGGTGTTGGGAACAGAACTCAGGTTCTCTGCAAGAACAATACCTGCTCTTAACTGCTGAGCCATCACCTCCTCAGCTCAAGTAAAGAAATACTTTTCAGCCTGTACATGAAATATAAAAAGATCAAAGAACCTGAAAATCTACGGCCAGGGTCTCCCACATTAGGAAATTAAGATTGCTTGAAAATACTTTTTGAAGTAATAATAAAAAAAAAAAAGCAGATCATTCTAAAACTATCCTTATCTAAAGTAACTAAAATTAAGATGTTTAAGTTTAGTTTAGTTTAGTTTAATTTTAACATAGAAGCTATGTCTAATTTATTTTAATTTCTGAGGCAAAAATGTACTAAGTCAATGATTTTTGCCAACTGAATTAAAATTGCATAGAGTTTGAAAACACTAAATGGTGAAAACAGCCTTCACTGGACTTCCAGCTCAGGGGGGATTGTGATGAATAAAGACTGAAATATATTTCTAGACTTTGCTTTGAGTAGAGGTCATTACAATCTTAAAAACCCCTCAGGAAGTGGAAAAACAAGGGCAATACAAGAAAAATAATTTAGGACCGCATTTGGCATGCTGGGAGAATATATTGAAATGTTAACCCAACATGCTTAAATGTTAGTTCTGAGGCTCATGCTCTGAATAATTATGCTACAATTTCTATTCAGCCATCATGATAAGGACTGCCCAACTCTATAGAACATGGCTTGTTGGTTTAAGGAATCTCTGGGCTTCTGTGTTGAGCAGCTGGTCTTCACTCAGTTAAACCGCTATTATCTAAGTAAGCTGTTCACTGCTTATGTCCTCATTTTTGTATTTCAACGAGAGATTAACATTCAATTCTCCCCTACGCCCAGACCTTTGTAATGTGAGTCCTTCCTCCTTGATTACTCTGCTGACTTCTTCTCCTACCTGTCTCTTTATTAGATGTTGCTTCACCCTCAACTGTACTGCTTGCTCCATAACAATGCTGCTTTTCCTCTTTTCTTTCTCCACTTGGTCTAGTTCCATCTCTTTCCCATTAATCTCTTTCCAGCGCTCTGCACTGTATGGTTGATTTGATATTTACTTTATGATGCAGATTGTGACGTCTCTAACAAAGCCTCAAGAGTTACTCTAAGAGGGGCTTACAGCCCTGTCTACCACCAGGTGTAACCTGCCTTCTGCCCAAGGAGGAACAGACAATGAAATAGATCCGAAGCTGTGTAGATGCCTGAAAGATCCCTAGCTAATGCCTAAAGAATTTCTAGTTAAATGATGGCAACTTTAAGAAGAATAAAATTTTGATTATATGACATGGAATTCTAAAAGCTAAGAAATACAGAAGTGTAGCATTGAGCTATATATTCAATATGTAACATATTAAATATATTCCTCACAAACGCACGGGTGCTGGGTATGATGGTACACGCCTCTAAATCCCAGCACTCTGGCATCTACGGCAGGAAGATGGTGAGTTCAAGTCAACTAGCCGGGTATGGCAGTACACACATTCATAGAGGCAGGGGGTCTCTGTCAGTTTGAGGCTAGCCTGGTTTAACATATCAAACTCCAAACCAGCCAAGGCTGCTTGCTTAGTGAGACCCTGTCTCGCTAACGAAGGAAATACTTAATTAATTAATAGTAAATCAGCCTGGTCTACATGGGTCTCTGTTACCAACAAACAGACAAACACACATAAGGCAAACATCATTTCAACAAAGAAAGCTTTTTGTTGTTGTTTGTTTTGTTTCGTTTTTCGAGACAGTTTCTCTGTGAAGCAGCCTTGGCAAAGAAAACTTTTAATGCACATTTTCTATCTGGTGCAAAATTGTAATTCTCTCTTCTCTGTTCTGAAATATGTGTCTGGTCTTGGTTGCCAGAAATTGTAGTCAATTTATAGAAAAATAAGGAATTCTGTGATTAATATTTATCAGTTATATGCAAAAATGTTACTGTGCTATTTTGATTGTGGCTATAAAAAGTTCCAACAGAAACGAGCAGCATGGTGTGGGATCTGTTACATGGGAAGCAGGCCATGGAAACCACCTCGGTCTGCTTCCCCTCCTCTCCCTTCTCTTCATCAGCACCAGTTCTGAAGTGACTCGAGTTAACGAAGGAGTGCAGCCTCCTGTCTAAGCACAGGGGAGCTATGGTCCCCAGAGGCGGGGCCGCCAGCGTGCCTCACTTACAGCTCACCATCGGGCATGGCGGTCAACCGGCCACCCCAGCATGCCTGCTGTCTATCTGCTGTCTGTAACCCTACAGCACAGTCCGCAAGTGCCCAGGACACACACAGTTCCTTACCGTACTGTTTGTGGAGTCACCAGGGTCCAGACAGGAGACATGGAGGAAACAAAACAGAAGAGAAAAATCAGATGCTTCCCAACACTTCCAGCCCATTTCAGACGCACATGCATCTAAGTTTCAGTCACATCCTAGCGACACAGTTTACATTAGGGCTGGCCAGACGGCCCAGTGGGTACAGGTGCCTGCCACCAATTCTAACAACCCGAGTTTGATTCCTGGGGCCTACGTTGTAAGGAGAGAAGCGAATCCTTCACAAGTGTGCTCTGACACATGAACCTCTCCCCACATAAAATAGGTGTAAAATGATTTTTAAGGAATCATATGCAATAACAAGTGAAGTAAAATCTTCACTCTATGAAAACAAGGTTCATCTTTAGAGCTGAGCTGCCTAATAGAAATACAATGAGAATACAACCTGGGCTGTACGTGTAACTTAAATTCACCTACAAGTCCTCTGAAGTGAAAAGAACAGAGTATGGTGGTGCACGCCTGTGTTCTACATACTGTATTCTAACACTCAGGTCAGGGCAGGGAGTGCAAGTTAGAGACCATTTAATGTCACCAAGCAAGTTTGAGGCTTGAACTATATAGTGAAACCCTGGTGAGTGAGTGTGTGTGTGAGAGTGATACAAATTATTCTTAAAGTTGTCCTAGAATATAAAATTTTTTTAAATATAAACATGTCATCACTAAAATTACTAGTTAGCCATGTCACATACTTTTTTATACTCATTGTTAGAAGTCTAGTGTGATTCTACACTTAATGAACATCTCAGTTTGGACTAGCCACAGTTCAAGTGTAGGTCAGTGGCCTATGGCTTACACTGGACAGCATAGTCTTGGAAAGTGTTGAATTTTATTATTAATGAACTTTCATTATCACATAAAGTTAGTCTCATGAAAGGTCTGTACTTTTTCTTTATAACTGACGTACCTAAAGTGGTGCCTGTTGTGCAAAGTAATTATTGAATGAAAGAAGGATGAATGAATGAATAGTATTATTTTACGAATGTTAAATTTTTTATCTTTTAAAAAAGATTTTTAAGGGAGTCGATGGCACACACCTTTATCCCAGCACTCAGGAGGCAGGGCCAGGTGGATCTCTGTGAGTCTTGAGGCCAGCCTGGCCTACAAAAAGCAAGATTCAGGACAGGCACCAAAACTACATGGAGAAACCCTGTCTTGGGAAAAAAAAAAATCAAAAAAAAAATAAGAAAAAGATTTTTAAACTGAAAGTTTTGTAGGATTGGAGGAGGGATGGCTTAGTTGGGAGCATCTAACAGAGGTCCATCTTGCAGAAGACCTAGGATCACTTCCCAGCATACATGGCAGCTTACAACTATCTATCCCTCCATTCCTATGCCTTCTTGCCTCTGTGGCACTTGCATACACGTGCAGATATGCAGGCTCACAAACACACCCATTAAAAGGTCTTTAGAAACAAACACAGAATCTGAAAAGTGAGCTAGTGAGACGGCTCAGCTATTCTAGAGAGCTGAGTTTGGTTGGGCAGCAGCTCATAACCAACTGCTGGTAATTCTAATTCCAGGTGAGCTAACACCCTCTTATGGCCTCGACAAGCACCCACACATTTAGTATACACCCATACAGACCCATATTTAATAAGACAATTTAAAATAGAGTCATATTTCATGCTTTAGGCACATACAATTTGTGTTCTGTTTTAAAAATATGAAAAGCTTATTTGTGCAGGGCTACATTAGAAAAAAAGTACCTCCTCCATTATGTAACAGTACATGCTCCAGACAAAGGTGAACTTGTAAGCAACACACAAACCACAACTTGACCTTGGTGGTCTAGTGGCAAGCATGGCTACTCTCAACTATAACGTGGGGCAGTAATGTAAATCATGTGGAATATGTTTGATCTTCTCTTTGTTTGGTCATCATGTTTTGGTTGAACATGGAAAACTGTGTTTGGATTGACACAGTGAACTCCAACTGTCATGGTAGAGAAACTATATTCTCTGGGCTGGACGAGCACGTGCCACATTGACACACTAGACAAGGTCACCGGTGGTTCTGCCGCCGTAAAAACCCCGGACTCTGCCTTCTCTTCCTCTCTTGCTCTAGCCCTGGAAACCTCAGGTCTTTTACCTGACTCTGTAACTTTGCCTTTCCCAGAATATCACATAGTTGGAATCTGTCCTAGTTTGTTCTGTTGCTGTGGTGAAGACCAGAGCCAAAAGCAACTTGGAGAGGAAGAGGTTTATTTATATTATGGCCTCCAAGCCATCACGAGGGGAAGTCAGAGCAAAAACTCTGGAGGCAGGAACCGAAGCAGAAGCCCTGGAACACTGGTTACTGGCTGGCCCTCCATGGCCTGCTCAGCCTGCTTCCTTACACAGCCTGGGACCATGTGCCCAGGGGTAGCACTGCCCACAGTGGGCTGAGCCCTCCAGTCTCAATCAATAATCAAGAAAACAGCCCACAGGCCAGTCTGGTAGGGAGAATTCTTCAAATGAAGTTCCCTCTTCCCAGATGACCCCAGTTTGTGTCAAGTTAGGCCTGACTAGGGGTCCCAACAGATCAGATTTGGCTACTCATGGCACTGTTAGGAGGTGTGGCCATGTGGAGTAGGTGTGGTCTTGTTGGAGGAAGTGTGTCACTGTGGGGGTGGGTGGACTTTGGGGTCTCTTTTGCTCAAGCTTTGCTCAGTGTGACACTCAGGCCACTTCCTGTTCCATGTCTGCCTGCATGCTGCCATGCTCTCTGCCATGATGACTGAACCTATGAACTGTAAGCCACCACCTCAGTTAAATGTTTTCTTTATAAGACTTGCCGTGGTCATGGTGTCTCTTCACAGCAACAGAAACCCTAACTAAGGCACAGCTCCAAGTCCAATCAAAGGCATGGCTGTGAAGCAGGTTACTCAATATGGCCACACAGGAGGAGCAGGGGACTCTCATTCTACAAGCTACCGTCAAGGTGCTGGCAACAGCTTATAGATTATTATAGTATATAAATAATAGACTGCATTGGGGAAGGAATAAGAGCAGGGACAAGATGTATGCACAGCAAGCAGTGGTCAGCTGTGTTCTGGGTGATCTTTTTTTTCAGGTCTGGTTCTGTGTGGTCCTGCTGTGGAAAATTACAGTGTGGGAGAGGGGGGAGGGGGTGTTCAGCTCTTGCTGTGAAATAATTTCTCCACTTGACGGGGAGCTTCAGTTCCATCATTGAGTGATCTGCCTGCAAGTCTTATTGTTCCTGGAATTTTGAAAATACCTTAGCTGCCCTGATCTTGGTTGGTGTCCTCAGACTTCAGAGGGGAAGAAAGACTAGGCCACTTTAGGATGAATCAGCTTTGTATTACCAGTTTTAGACTAACACTCCTTAAATAATTAACATGTTTACTTGCAGAGCTGGGCAGGAATCTGACCTCCAATTTAAGGTAGTAGAGACGATAGATGCAAAATGAAGGCAAAGATGCTGTTCTGTGTGGACATGTTTATGTGCACATATGTGTAGGCCAGAAGACACCCTCAACTGCTACTCTTGTCAGGTGCTACCCATCTTAGCTTTTGTTTGTTTACATCGGTCTGGAGTTTGCAAAGTAAACGAGGTGTACTGGCCAGCAAACCCCAGGACTCTGCCTGCCTCCACGGCCCCAGTGCTGGAGTTACGGCGTGCCACCACTCACAGCCTCATCCTCCCTTTTGAGACAGGGTCTCATTGTGTATCCCTGGCTGGTTAGAAGTCACAGTTGATATGTAGGCCAGGCTAGCTCTGAACTTGAAGAGACCCACCTGCCTCTGTGTTAGGTTTTAGGGAGTATGCCTCCACACCTGGCTTCATGTCAGCTCTTTTAACACGTTTCTAGAGATCAAATTTGTCTTAGTTAGCACTTGTATTACTGTAATAATAAGTGATAAAACACCATGACCAAAAGGCAACTTGGGAAGGAAAGGACTTATTTCAAGTACACTTCCCGGTAATGGTCCATCATCTGAGGCAGTTAGGATAGGAACTCAAGCAAAGCCAAAACCTTTAGTAAAGGAGTAAATTAAAGGGAGGAGCCAATGCAAAAGCCATGAAGGAGTGCTGCTTATTAGTTTGTTTCCTCTGGCTTGCTCAGCCTGCTCGAATCCAGGACCACCAGCCCCATCACCAACAAGGAGCTGGGCCCTCCCGCATCAATCACTAAGAAACTGCTGTACAGGCCTGGCTACAGGCCGGTTTTATGGAGACATTTTCTCAATCAAGGTTCCCTCCTCTCAGAAGACTCTAGCTTCCATCAAGTTAACATAAAAACTAGCCAGCACAAAACTGAACTATCACCCCAGGCAAATGCTAAGCTTTAATCCTGCTTTGAGTTGCTCACCAGACATCCTTTTGCAGGCGAAGAGCTTTTGACAAAAGAAGCCTGAATCCTGATTACAGAATCTTCTACTATTTGCTGTTTTCAAGTTATTTCACTTAGTAATGTGGGCTTAAGTTCCCTTTATATCTTTTTATGATTTTGTAGCTCATTTCCTTTTGGTCCTGAACAATATTCTACTGTCTGGATGTACTATTAATCACTCACCCACTGAGAGACAACTTGTTTGATGGGCAATTACGCATAGAGCTGCTATAAATAGCCGTATGTTGGTTGCTGGGTGGAAATGAATTTTCAAGCTCTGTTTATATCAGGTGGCATGACATCAGATATATAACAGGAGCAGGTCAAGCTTTGCAGGAGAGGCTGCACTATCCTCCAGAGCGGCTGTACCATTTGTGTTCCCACCAGCAGCGAAGAGTTGCCCTGGCTCCTAAGCAGCCGCAGTGCTGCCGGTGCTGATGTGGGCGATCACAGGAGGTGTTCTGTTATTTCTTCATTGACTTAATGTGCGCTGCTTTCTATGGGAACACAGGCCGGGGAGCGGCTTTCACATGCTTACTTGCTGTCGTGGTGCCCTTATGTGGTCTGTTATGACCTTCGTCCTGCTTCAGTTCAGATATCTCAGGAACTCGGTCTAGTTCAGGTAATGGCTATGGTTCC